AGCTTTAATTTGATATATGTTTAAAGGACGCAGTATTTCCGGAACATTTTCAAAAATTAAGTTGAAAAAGTTAGTTTTTGTAAAAAAGTTGCTATTTTAAATCCCCCCTGTGAGCAGAATAAGTGTTAGATTTTCAAAAAAAAATGATATCAAATGAAAGAAAATTACCTAAGGTTTCAATATAAAGAAATATTATTTTGATTAGTTAATATTTGAAAAAGTTATGGCAGTTTTAAGTACAAAAAACATCGTTATAAAAGGTGATTTTTATCGCAAATATTACATTTTTTTTATAATTTCGACAGCCATTTGCACATAGAAGATAAGGTGTCGGGACAAATTTTTTTTTTTCATTTTATAGTACATAAAAAAAGCTTTAATTTGATATATGTTTAAAGGACGCAGTATTTCCGGAACATTTTCAAAAGTTCAGTTGAAAAAGTTCTATTTTTTATACAATGTTTCAAAGTTTGAACCCCCCCTATATAAGGGGAAATTGTCTAATTTTAATAAAAAGTATGTCAAATGGAAGATGTACTTATAATGTATTTAGAAAAAAAAAAATTGTGCTGATACATGCATTTTTCGAAAAGTTATAGCATTTTTAAGTTGAAAATTAAAAATTGAAAATCGAAAATTTTAACACAAAAATAGTGTTTTTTTAACTACGGCAACCGTTTACATGCAGAAGATAAAGTGTCGGGACAAATTTTTTTTTTTCATTTTATAGTACATAAAATAAGCTTTAATTTGATATATGTTTAAAGGACGCAGTATTTCCGGAACATTTTCAAAAATTAAGTTGAAAAAGTTAGTTTTTGTAAAAAAGTTGCAATTTTAAATCCCCCCCCATGAGCAGGTTAAGTGTTAAATTTTCAAAAAAATTATATCAAATGAAAGGAAAATATCTAAGGTTTTAGTTTAAAAAAAAATTATGTTGATTTGTTGATTTTTGAAAAAGTTATGGAAGTTTTAAGGAAAAAAAGTGAAAAAAATGACAAAATTTGTCGATTTTTAAATTTGTAATTTTTTTGGATATTTCCCCCATTTGCGGGGAACGAGGGAAAATTTTTAAATTTTTAAGGGTAATGTCTTCAACTAGATACAATTTGTGATCTTTTGACGTATTGTTAAAAGAAATCGGTCCAGTGAGAGCTGAGAAAAAGTAGTGGCAGACACAAAAAAAAAAAAATAAAAAATAAAAAAAAAAATAAACATATCATGGTAAAATTAATACCTTCTCAGCTTCGCATCGAAGCTAAAAAATAATTTATTTTACCATAACTTTTAGCTCAATTGTCAAGTTTGACATTGACATCATTAAATAGAAAATTTTATGTCAATTAAAAAAATTGTATCGTTAAGATCAATATGCAGTCAGAAAGTTTTATAATTACTATTTATAGTAAATTTATCAGAGTAACAAATATTTTTTTGCATTTTTATGGTAATAGATAACTTAAATAGAAGTAATAGTAATAATTTCCTAGTAACTTTTGTTGTATGAAAAGATTTTACAATTGAAATATCCAGAACTGAATTAAATTTAATGATTTACTTTAACTAAATGAACCAATCAAAACAAAGTTGTTAAAAAGATTTACTTAATTGAGCGTATTATAAAATTTGATTATAATTGTAAAATCAATTGTTAATTCAGGAGAAACTAAAAATCACTTTTCTAAGAAATGATTTATATAGCAACATGTTACCAAAAAATTTGTAATATTATAGTCTAGTAGTAGTACACACAAATACAGTAAAAAATTTATTAAATTACAAAGTAAAATGATTGAATTTTGTAGTTGAAACCTATTATATCAAACTTGATTCGTCAATAAATACTTTGAAAACATTAGAAATGAATGATTTTAATTGTCTGTATAGAGAACATGGAATAACTAACTGTTTAATTGATAAATTAGAATTTTTTTCAATTTTTGATGGTAATATCTTCAATTAGATACGAATTGTAGTCATTTGACGTATTGTTGAAAAAAGTAGGTCAAGATAGAGCAGAGAAAATAAATGATAGTCACAAAAAAAAATCTTCTCAACTATGTATCGAAGCTAAAATCTAAAATATAGTAAAATAATTTGGAACAAATGCATTTTACCACCCCATCGAGTTTTTTCATTTTTTTTTTTTTTAAAACGTGTATTTTTCAATGCTTTTTTCAAAAGTGTTTGAAAAAATTGTCGGAAAAAATTGGTTCAAAAGTTATAGCTTTTTAAAGTTGAAACGTCAAAAACTAAAAATAGCTCAAAAATTGTTTTTTTTTTTGTTAATTTTTGGGATTTTTTCTCATGATACTATTGTGAAACTATAATGACGTAATTATTACATAATATCCTCATTCTAAAAATCCTAAAACCAAAATTATCTTTAAAAATAAGGATTTTCCAAATTTTTTTTTCAAAACTACGCACATCAAATTTACGCAATACGAAATAAAAATAACAAGAAACTCAATTAATTCAATTTGAGCAAAAAAAAAAAAAAAACAACGATGTGGTGTTTTACATAGAACTGTTAATTCAATAAAATAAAAGTTTTTACTGTTTATTATGTACACCAATTAACACTTGTTGTAAACAAAAAAAAAATACTATTACATTAGATATTGTTGATATTAGTTAAGTTGTTGAGGTATCAAAATATACTTACTAATATCTTAATGTTATAATGTTGAGTTATACAAACCCATTTAAATATAAGTTGTGGTCACCTACGCCTGCCGGCTCCGGTGACCGATTCGAGCCCCTTCGGGACTCTCATGGGATGGGGGCTCACGCCCCCAAACCCCCAGAGGATAGAAGTCAAGCCCAAACCCAACCTATTTAAACCCATTCGACTGAAATTCTCAGTGACCCAACAAGTATAAAACCTTGATGTTAAAATGGTGATATAATATTGAAAAAAATTCAAAAAAAAATTTAATTTATTTACTTCAACACTACCTTAACACGTTTAATGTACTGATAAATACTCTTAAATTTACTATTCTTCGGTAACTACATCATCGAGAATACTTTTTATAGTTAATTAATGAAAATTATCAAAAAAAAAACAGCAGTATATAACAAAATTTGTATATGATTATTGAAATCTTTGAAAGCTCATAACTTTTAAACTAGACTTCGCCGACAAACATTTTTTTTATATTCTTAGTCGGTATGAAAAACTAAATTGATCTAAAAAAAAAAAATTTGAAAAATCTCGATGGGGTGGTAAAATGCATTTAAGCCAATAATTTGAATACGAATAAGAAATTTCTTCTTGCAAGGGACGACTAGTGATGGGATCCTTGATCTTTATTGAAGTTATTGAATTTAAATGAGATAAAAATCAAACAAGTTAAAAATTTATACTAACTTAAAAAGAATTAAGAAAAAATGCAAAAATTCATTGCCATACGCGGGTTGGAACCTCGTACCCCAAGCGTGTAAAACATAAGTTTTACCAACTCAACAACCGTATGTCGATGCCGTCGGCTGAAAAAATTGTCTATTTAAGCTAATTTGAATTTCAAAGTTATTTTTCTCGACTTAAAAGAAGCAAACAAAATTAAATAAGTTTAACTTTCTATGCTATATTAATATTTTATTTATATAATATTTATGAAAATCTGTACTCTCCTTGTCAGATATTTTAAAATAATATAAAATACAAAACCCAGAATTTTAACACAAAAATAGCAAATTTTTGAATACGGTAGTCATTTTTACCATGAAGACAAATCCAGAGGTCAAATTTTTTTTTTTCAATTAAGGTATATTGCATAAGCTTTAATTTAAGATATATATAAAAATGTCAGTATTTCCGGAAGACTTTCAAAAATTAAATTGAAAATATCTTAGTAACAATACGCATGTTTAAAGTTTTGACCCCCCTTATAAAAGGGGTATGATCCGATTTATAAAAAAAGCGTGCCAGATGAAAGGGGTATATAAATATTTATTATAAAAAAATAAATATATTGATCCATACATTTTTCCAAAAGTAATATAAAATATAAATTAAATAATATAACATATAAAATCAAGAATTTTTTTCATGGAAATCGTACGTTTTACTTTAACTTTGATGTCCATTTTCACCACAAAGACAAGTCCAGAGGTCAAATTTTTTTTTTCAAATTTAAGTATATTACATAAGCTTTAATTTAATATATATATAAAAGTGTCAGTCTTTCCGGAACATTTTCAAAAGTTAATTTTTTGTAAAAAAGTTACCATTTGGAAGCACTTCCTGTAGGCTGTTAAAGGGTCAAATATTCACAAAAATATATAAAACGATAGGTAAATATCTAAAGTATCTATAAAAAAAAAATTATATTGATTCGGTCATTTTTAAAAAAGTTATGGCAATTTTAAGTAAAAAGAAATGAAAAAATATCGAAAATTAGCGATTTTTAAATTTGTAATTTTTGGGGGATTTCCCCCGTTTACGGGGAATGAGTGAAATTTTTTCAATTTTTGAGGGTAATGTCTTCAACTAGATACGATTTGTGATCTTTTGACATATTTTTCATCAAAATCGGTTCAGTGAGAGCTGAGATTACGCGTATACAGACACACACAAAAAAAAAAAAAAACACATCATAGTAAAATTAATACCTTCTCAGCTTCGCATCGAAGCTAAAAACACATATTTTATCGAATTCGTATTTAAAACGAAAAGTTTCATTTAAATCAAATAAGCAATGGCCTTTTAGTATTAACTGGTTCGTATCTTAATTTGCGCTAATGATGTTAACCGTACATCAATAATTGTGACTATTATTTGAATATCAGCAAACTGGATAGTAATTATTAAATATTTAATATTTCCCAGAGGTTATATAGCGCTATCTTTACGGGTATAAATTAACAAAAAATCAGTTGCCAATTGTATGAATGCCGTGGCCTATCTATGTGTATTTAATCGATGGTATTACGACAGAATAGATAAGATCTTATCTATTCTGTAGCAATACAGTAATAATTTGATGATAATATTAATGTTATTTTGACTATTACTGATTTATTCAAAAAATTTGTTTTTCTCAAACTGTAACTCACCATTAATAATCTGTTCTGCACTTCTTTTTCTTATCTATTTAAATAATAGCTTTTATATAGATGATAGAATTTAATTGTAAAATTAAAACTGATTCTTAATTTTCAATCCATAGTATTGAGTCAGTGTATAGTAAGTAAATATTTAATGTAAAATTTGAAATTATTGTACATTTTAAAAGAATATAAAAAATATATTACATGTAGTTTTTACCATCTTAAAGAATTTAATGAATAAAAATAATAATTCTAAATAAATTAAACAATAAATATTACAAAGGCAGCTTATATAGTTTATACAAGAAAAAATAATAGTACTAGATTTTATTAAAAAAATAACAAATTTATAAAGATGTTGATTAACCTTTTAAAGAATAAAACTTCAGAGATATAAGTCATTTGGTTTATTTTATATTCATTTAACATATTCTAAGATAACAAAATAAAATAAAATTCTAAATGAATTTGTTCCGAATGTCTCTCATAGAATTATGTAAACTTTCCTGTAAAAATCTATAAAATAACTAACCACTACTTGGTATAATGATTTTTCAACTATGATATACAATTATTTATATATATATATATATTTATTATTACATATTTTTTTATTTGATCATTTAATCTAAAAATGTCCAAGTATCATTTCTTATGTTTGTAATTAATGTTGTTAAAAAGATAATTCTTACAGATTTAATAAACTGTGGCAACATGCGATTTTTTAAGTATACTGAATTAACTAGTGCTACAACTCAGTACAGTTATCGTATGAAGATGCTTAGTAATAGAATATTTGGTGAGGTTGTTCGTCCAACTAATGAAAAGTCAATGAAGGTAACACAATTTCAGTTAGTATGTTAGTATTTTTATTTATAATGTAAATAATAAATATGTATCTATTATATGTAGTCTAATTTCTTATGCAAATTGATATTTATTAAGTGCAAAAAATATTCCTTACTGATGTAATAAATGTACCATTTTATGGTAAGTGATAGATAGCATTTTATACACGTATCATTAATAATTTAAACATTTTATTTTTGTAACTTGTCAGCATTGGGATACAAGCCATATTTATAAATTATAGTTTAATATAAGCTTTTAATATATTTATTTAGAAAAATAGTTTTAAAAATCAATATTGGAGTATTCAATTTTACTGTATTAGTAAACCGAATAAGTTAATAAACATTTATGATAGTTCATAGAATAACATGTGATTAGCTAGAGAGAATTTGTCATTTGTCCATTTAAAATATAACTCTCACTAATAAAAAAAATAGAAACAGAGTGATAATGTGAAATCTGGAGAGAATTGTATGCGCATTTATGACCATAAAGAGTCTTCTTTGCGTAGTCATGGTTGCCCGAACGTTTGAAGAAGGTGTATAATGTTTTACATTCATTATTTCATCCAAGAACATAGTTTTTTCTATAGCCGCGAGGGATGTACTTTTCTGCGGTGTTGATGATGAGTTTTGTAAAACGTTTATAGTTTTCGGTACTTGGAGGGATCCACCGTACGCTATCATCTAAAGTTTTAGTAAACAAAGACCAGTTGGCTTTATGGAAATTCCACCTTGCCTTAGGTATAGACCTGATTGTCTGGATTTGGTATCCGATTTCTATGACGACCGGTTTATATTGTGACACGACTTACGTCCCAAAAATGTGGTCGACGTTGTCGCTTTCACAACGGGGAGAAGACTCCCGCACCATTTGCGGCGAGTCATCGTAGGCCGTGCGGCATTTGCTGGACTTTGTTCCGTAGCGTATCACACGCGGTGTTGGTCAGTCAAATACTCATAGTAGGGCGACGGCTGATAAAGGTGGCACGAGTCGCGGGGCATCGTGTATAACGAAGCGACGCGGGCCGTGTCAATTGGCTGATCGGAAAGTCCGTTAAAACTCTTTTAGAAGTTCTAGAGTAGTGCCATTCTGGTCTGTAAATATAAAGCACAAATCCGAATTATACTCCTTATTCTATCAGACAGATCTAAACGTTCCCCTTTGTTTAGCGTCGTGAACTAATTCTAAACCCTCGGTTTCACTCCAGTCAGCAAGTTCTTCTCTTTGAGTGTCATTTTCGTTGTTTCCCCATATAGTGTTATGACTATTAAAGTCACCTATGTAAATAGTGTGGAGGTTAGGTGAGTGGAGTGCAGGGGTGGGCCAAATGACGTTTGGGGGCTTTTAGATATTGGTTACGTGTAGATTTCCAACTCAAGTCTCAATAGTGTAGATGCTGTTTTTTCAAAGGTTCTAATGTGTTTCCATTTAAGTCACTTTTTATATAGGTAGCGGTGCCATAATTGCTGTGAAAAGTAGCACCGGCAATTGTGAATCCTATAATAAGCCTTCTTTTCAATAGTTATTCCTGATCGGCCGTGTGAGTTTCCTGGACAACGAGTACATCTATTTTTTCTTTCATTGCGATTCTTTCTAGTATCTCCGCTTTAGATTTACTGAAGCCTTCGACATTCAACTGCATAATTCGGATGATGTTCTTAGTCAGATAGCCCATATAAGGGCAATATATATTTGCTTGTATAATAGATGGCGGGAGATGTACAGAGCACAGTCCGCTGACCAGAGTATGGTAGACTTTAGATTGATGATAAGAAATTAATTTGTGAATAATTATTAAAAAAATGATTCATTTGTTTATTAATGTTGACTATAAATAATTTGAAAATATTTTATATAAAATAAAGAAACATAAGTAGTTTTAGGTAATTTAACCCAAAGACACAAGCCAATTATAATATTATTCGTTTTCATAGCATAAATAATTTTATAAAAATTAATTTATAAAATAACTTTTAACGCGTATCCAATATACGGTGTATTTAAGATTTCCATATACACCACACCAAAAAAAAAAATAAATAAATATATATATATTTATTTATTTATATAGATATATATAGAAATTTTAACACCACATAGTCACAGCGGTAGTATAGGAAAATATATATAAGTCTATATGTCTGTATGTATATTTATTTATTCAAATCACACTTTTAAGTAATAATATTATAATACATTAATATATTCCTCGTTAGTTTGACACTAGTTAATAAGAATAGTAATAATAAATATAATCGCCAACAACAAAAAAACAATGAAAATGAAACGCAACAACTAGTCCAGGTTAACGTCGAAAACGGAACAGAATGCATTATCAATAATCCATATTAGGCGGCGATCTTGTCACAGTGTCAAGGGCGGGGAAACACCCGATTACAACCAATTGTCATATTAATAGCTGAACGGCTGATATCGAGACGGGTTAGCGCCAGCCTAGAGCGTAAGGCGGTGCCGTGTCACTTTATTATTATAAGCCATAAGCGACCGCAGGAAATTTATCAGGGGGGAGCCAAAAAAAATTAAATACCAAAAAGTAACATTATATTAAGTGTTAATTAACTGAAAATTTCAATATATATATAATTATTATATATATTCATGAGTCATTACTAAATAAAAATTGAATTCTTCGCGGTTGTTCTGTTGCAAATCTTGTTATTAACTGTTCAATGAATTGAGTTTTGCTTGCCTTAACTTTTTCACGATGTACACTTAACATACATAAATCATTTAATCGGTCTTCACTTGTCGTGGATCGAAGCTAAGTTTTTTTATCATTCATAATATCCATAAAATCTTTAGCTCTAGATATTGATTCAGAATGTCACTTTGAAGATATATGTATTTTAGAAAAGTTATGAAAATCCTTGTACTTAGTAAACGGTTTTATTATAAATTTACCTTGTACACCTCTGTGAATAGATGGCTTAAACAGCACACATACTCTACAAAAAGCTCCTCTCACACCCTCAACTACTGAATAAGTTAACCATGAACTGTTTTCGTGCAACCAATTGTGCCTAAATGCACGAGTAATTCCTGGTTTCAAATCACTTTTAAAGTTATAATTAGTGTTGAGTACCCAAGGATGACGCAAAAGTTCGAATTTCAAAGAATTGTCAATATTTTCTCGATTTAAATATTTTCCAATATATCTTTTTCATCCGTTATCCCATCACTAATAACATTACTTTTTGTATTTATAGCAATCGAAGTACTTTCAACTTCACACGATTCTGTATTATTTATTTCAATTACTGAAGTTGAGGGTTGATTATCAAAATCACAAAACTTAGGTTTTTTGAAAAAAATTCTGATGTCCATAATAGTATAATATTAGACAATCGACTATATAAATATAATTATGATTTATAAAAATGAAACTTACTATAAAAATACTTATAAATGTATAGTATAGAACGTACTGTATTTAGGCAGCTTTGTTTGCGTATTTCATTGAAGGAAGCGTGCTGATAAATAAAACTAGAATAGTCGATCGTCACTCGTCGTTCCATTATGGAATTTCCGTACAAATTGATAAAAACCTCTCAAATATACTAGACAATAGCCGATAGCTATCGGTCGACAATAATGTAACGGCATATGACGATAAAACCCATTAAGTCAATAAAAATAAATACATCTAGAAATCCAGTTAAATTTTTTTGTTTTATAAATAAAATTTTCAGATTATACAAATTTAAATCAGATTGATTATAATTTTTAAAAATGTATACCCAAAGTCCAGGGGGAAACAAACGCCCCCTCTTGTCTTCCCCTGTAGGCCTTATAAGCAAAAGATTACCACCAACACTATAAGAAGAGGACAAGGAGTCTAGTCTCCTTGTCTAGATCCCTTGTTATAGGAAGAGAATGAGAGTTACCTTCTTTCTTTTATACCTGAATACGAGGTTCAGACGAAGTGCAAAACACAAGTACTCTTGAATGTAGAACAGCGGTTCCCAACTTCGGGTCGCGACCCAAATTAGGGTCGCAGAGGTTTTCATGGTGGGTCGCGAAAGAATTACTTACAGTTTACATATTATATTTTATTATATTATAATTTTAATTTTGAAAAAAAAATCCCGAAATATTGTGATAATAAAATTATCGAAGATAAAATAATATTAAATACCTATGTAAATGGATTGGTGCGGGCTGTTCGCGGTCGTACCCTCATAGCGTGGTGTAGCTAGATACTATACTAGTATACTACTATATGACGTAACAGGCATATAATTTCTATTTTTGTTCATAATATATTCCCGGAACGTCAAGGTGCGGTTTGGTGTGTCCTTATTGTAGTTTTGTATAAAATGTATACATATTATATTTATACTATAAATATAATATGTACAACGTACGTCTGGACGTATATAAGTATTGATAATTTAATGATATTGTGTAATTCTATATTCTTATTTAATATTCAAGTGATTTAATTTTTTGTAATGGCTAAGCGCGCGTTACCCTATAAAGATGTTTTTTTTAAGTTTGGTTTTACAGAAATAAAAGATCGATCAGGATTAGTGCGTCCTCAATGTGTATTCTGCCTGTAAGTTTTATCTAATGAATCAACGAAGGAAAATAAACTCAAGTGGCATCTCAACACTGTTCACCCCACATTGATAAATAAACCATTACAATTTTGGAAGGAACGTAAAAATAAAATAAAACGTATGCGTCTCGATTGTCCGTCCAATACACTTACAGTTTTATTACAAAAAACAACAATTCAGCCAGAACTTTATTCTGTAATTCAAATTGTCAATTTTATAAAAGCTAGAGCACTAAATTCAAGAATATTCCATGCCATGTGTGATGAGATGGGATCACAGTATGTAAATTTACTTTATCACTCGGATGTACGTTGGCTTTCCCGTGGAAAAATTCTTACCCGTGTTATGTCTTTGCGTTTAGAAATACAAATTTTTCTAACGGAAAAAAAACACTCATTGTCTGATAAATTCAATGACGATTCTTGGGTTGCTAAATTGGCTTTTTTAAGTGATATTTTTGGACGGTTAAATGAATTGAACATTGAAATGCAAGGAAAGAATAGGACAATGATCGACATTGGTGAAAAAATCTCATCATTCAAACAAAAGCTCGGACTTTGGCAGGAAAAACTATCTCAAGGAAATATTGCCACATTTGACCTTTTAAGTGAATTTCTTGAAGATTCAACAAAAGTTACATTAAATGACTTAAAATAACTGCTTCAAAAGTACTTGAACAAATTACAGTTGGAACTCGATCGATATATACCAGAAAACGTAGAGTTCAGTAAATACAGTTAGGTAAGAAATCCTTTTGAAGTTTCTGTTCACGAAGTTGGTGAAGACATTTGCGGGTTCCAAAAAGAATTTCTTGACCTTCAAGCCAGTCAAATCTTAAAAGACAATTTTTCAAGAATGTGTTTGACGCAATTTTGGGCACAACTAAAAGATAAACCGATTTTATCAAGAGATTCCGAAAATGCATTACTACCATTCCCAACCACATACTTATGTGAAGCCGGGTTTTCTACGTTAGTTGTCATCAAAACAAAGTATAGAAATCACCTTGATGCTCAACACGATATGTGATGTGCACTTTCAATGAATATACATCCAAATATTGAAGAACTCGTGGAATATATTAAGCATCAAGGAAGTCATTAAGTAAGAGTTAATACAATTATACCATGTCAAATTTGAAAAAAATAATAAATGGCTTTTTATGACGTAAATCACGTATTTTGTTCAGTTTTTTATTAGTATTTTTTAAATTTATTTTATTTAGTATTTGAGGATAGATTATTGTACCTATATATTAACCGATTTTGTATTAATAAATGAAAGTATTGTTTGCAATTATGATTATTTTTTTTTTTAGGTCGTTAAAAGTTAAATTTAAAATATTAGGGTCACACTCATAAAAGGTTGGGAACCACTGATGTAGAGGATCAATTATTATTATTATTAATTATTAATCAATCATTATCAATTCTTCAGTCGATGATAGCGGGTGATCTGTCTGTGTTTTATATTGTAATATTTTTTACAATAATGGTAAAGTGAGCCATCAGAAATTTTTTCCGATATCTATGTCATAATTAGTATGAAGTGTTCTATATACATTGGTTTAATAACAACAATTATAACAATCTAATAAATTTATTCTTAGTTTTGGAAAAAACATTCAAATAAAAAATAGAATTGGGATTCCTAACAAGTGCTCTATAATCCATTTCTTATTTAATAACTATTTTTAAAGCTTCTGTATCTTTATCATTAAAGCTATTATAATTTCTTTTAAGAAATTATAAAATATGATTTTCCTATAACTGAGATAAAAAAAAATATATATTTATATATATACTTAACTCAATCCAATCATCCTAAACAATTTTTTACATTGAGGGGACAAAATTCAAAATAGGTTCCCTAAATTGTTATAAAGCTAAAAAAATAGTTAAATGATGTTTTTTGGTGACTATTAGTGATCATAAAAAAAAATTTGATAGTTTATAAACTTTACCCTTAATAACCTTTTAACAATATTAATTAATTTTTTTTATCCATAAATTTTTCGTCAGATTAAATTAGGCAAAGGGTGGGAGGACGAAATGATATTTTTGTCTACTTATCTTATGACCGATGGGGTAACTGCCTCTCTTGCCTCCTGTTTCCTGCGTTACTAATTATCTTCTACTACTTTGATGTGTCAATATCAATTTTAGGAAAAATATTCATTGAGTTACAAATATTTTTCATACATAGAGTAGCTATACAATGAAGGTGGACTATGTGTTATAAATATACACCAATACGAGTTGTATTCAACTTTATTCCAATCTCACTCTATGTATTAAAATACTTGTAACTCAATGAGTATTTGTAATAAAATGTATGTCAATCATTCAAACTTTTTTTGCAAGAAAAGGGTTAAAAAATGGCTATTTTGAAACTTTTAAAAAACATAATAAAATTTTATTTATTTTTTATTAGTGATAATTAACAAAAAATATGCCTTTAACATAGTCTAAGAAGATAATAATCATTAAATAAAATTTCACAAAATAATTGCGCCAAAATTTATAAGCGTTGTCAGTTAGGCTTGATACTCTCTGCATAAGAGAGGTTGAACGCAATACTATAAGATAGTAAATAGTTATAATATAGCTGTTTAGGCCTATATACTAACTGTGGCCATTGTTGTGTAATCCTATCTTTTTATTGGCGGTCATATGGTTGTCAGGTTATTATTGTGAGTAGTAGTAGTAGTATAAATCTGAAAAATCGATTTGGAAAAGGGATTAATTTAAACCTAACCTAATGTGTAGCAGAAGCGAATGCTATACGCAGGATAAAATAATATATTATATAGAGTGTTCAATAAGTAAGGAACGGGTTTCTACTATTTTCACTATTTTTAACTAGCATGTTTCCTTACTTCCTGAGCACTCTGTATATAATTTATTTATTTAAAATTAAAATTCGTGCTTTAGGTTTTCATCATAAATGTACTTTATGTTTATATCTATTGTGCAATATATATAAATATCAATATCGTAGTTTAGTGTAAAAAAATTCGTGCGCAATATTTATAAAGTAACGATATACAATGCCTCCTATTGTGGTACAATCATCAAATTTTTACATTGCTCGGATTACGATGGACGTGGTCTGACAGTTAATAGGGCGTATGTGTAAATTAGTTATGGTAAGCTGAGTCGGTTTATTTATTGTGGAATAATATTTTTATGATCGTAAAAGATCAAAGTAAAATCTGAAACACTCAAGTTGTTTGGTTTTCATTGTTTTAACAAGTGCCAGGGACAACTTTTGGACCAGTATTTCAGAAGCTATTAACAATTTAAAGTAACGACTGGAGGTGAAGAATATGTTCTGCTATTATTATCACTAATCATTTCTCGGCCGTACTCTTCATCCTTCCAAGGTATAAAAATGAAATTAACATCCAAAGTACTGGTTCAAAAGTTGTTATCGACCAGTCATTTTCTTAAATATATTATTTCCTATTTTATAAACTAGTTAAATATGTTTATAGTCATTTAAAAAAATAAAGTTGAAACTTCTTTAAGTTATAAAGGATAATTCTAAAAAGTATTATTAGTTAATAAATCAAGAATTATATATCATTAAAATATATCAAAAATTATTTCTCCAATATTGTATTTATTTTTAATGATACAACCTTAATACATTTAAAAATTATTTTATAGGTGGTTAAAATGTTTAGTGAAGAGCCATTGTATAAAAAAGAAAACATAATCAATTATTATCCTCGTCATGTAGAAACTGGGCTTTTAATAAAAAACCTTCGAAGATATGGTCTATTTAGGGACGAACATCAAGATTTCATAGATGAAATGAAAAGATTAAAAGCACTTAGAGGAAAAGTTTTTGTGAAAGGAGAAAAAAAGAGAAAAACAAAGAGTATTTTATAAATTTATATTTATTAATAATGTATTTTGAGCTTTGTTAATTCTTATGTAGAACAATAAAAATAATTTATATTACATAAAATAATTGTAAAAATATTTTTTTTTACACGTTTTGCTTATTTTTATGGAATAGTAACCTATATATAAACCATTTAGTATTAAATGCGCCACGAAGATTAAGCTACTAAATAATTACAGTAATAACATTTTTTATATCTTAAAGATATTAATTTATTTGAAGTACTTATAAATTTATAGTCATCGCCAAATCGTTTTATAAACGCATATAGCATCACACATAGTTGTAGTAACCACGTAGGTGCGGGCTGCGTTGACCCTTTTGTATAAATAATGTGCTCTAATTAAAACATCAATTTTTACATAAAATTATTGTCATATATTAATTATAAATAAGAAAGTGGTTATCCTCTGTTAGAATTGTAGATATATTATTGTAAACTAATAGAAATGGACATTTTTTGTTATTTATCCTTACAGCTATGTAGCCTTCTATGTCCTTTTTCAGTCTGCGTCCCTGTCACAACGGTTATTTATTTGCTAGTTCTATGGATATCTTTGGTATTTAACAAATAAAGGAAATATTACAGAAACACAATATGCTTCCTTTGTAATTGCACTATTTATTAACTAAATTTATTTATTAATTTTATCATTCATTTAGATTAGCACATATAAGTTGACACTCCTTTAAGTTAATTCTAAAAAGTAATTTTTATCTGATAAATCAAGATTTATATGTAACTAAAATAAATCAAAAATTATTTTTATAATATTTTATTTATTTTGAGACTAATGAGTGTAGTTTACGATAAATCGATTACTCTGTATGTTTAAAATAAATAATTTTTTAATAGATATATTTTCTTTTCAATAAAACTGAATATTGAATTCAGATAATATAGAAATGTGTATGATTGGAATATATTATAAAAATAATTGATTACATATTAACGTAATTTAGTGAAAACACAGTATCCTAGGCGCTATCTGGGAATCCAGATGGAGCGTAGCCTTCCTAATTCAGTGGTAGCCCCCCCACTCGTTGAAAAATTATAAAAATTGTATGTTAATTTATATAAAAATATTTTTAAGAAGGTGGTTAGTTAGAAGTGTAAACATTTTGTTCAAATTGTGCTTATGATCGAAATGATTAAAATATACTCTGTACATTAATTTTAAACTAATGTTATAATATTAATAGAAAGTTTTTAAATATATATATTTTTTTAAACAGAACGATAAAAGGGAACGAGTTCTGTTTTAGAATGTAAACGAATAACAAAACGTGTTCCGTTTAAACATGAATTTAATATAAATGATAAAACGATATTTGGTGATCACGGCTGCTTAAGCTATTAACTCTATCATGGTATTGTAAATTATATGAAATATATTTAAACTGAAATGTTTTTTTTCTTATTAGTTAAAAATAGTCAAAATAAAAAAAGGTCATCAGTGACCTAAAATAAAAATACCATTCTCAAAAAATTTGGATCGCAAAATATTCAAAGTGAGCGATCGACCCATCGCTACTCTTAAAAGTGCTTTTATTTTAAATAAAGTTTTAAATCTCTCTTAGTATTAATTTTTATTTTTCTTGATATTATGAACTTAACAAATTAAAATTGTAATTGCTATCTAATTAATCACCTACTGCTAAAAATATATTATATTAAAATTGTATTAGAATTAGTGTTATAAAAAAGTTATAATAATATCACATTTTTTTTGAAAAGGCTACTTTTTACGGTGTGTAATTTTGATATATTTTTTAAATTTCTAAAAATAGAGGTTTTTAAAATTTTTAGCGTTAAAAGGTTCATTTACAAATTGACCATTAAAATAATTCCAATAATAGCTGAGTATTTTCATGGACAAACATAAAAAAACGCACACTATCATAAAATCCCAGCACAGTAGGTCGTGGTGCAGTGGTGACGTGGCATAATTGGATCAAGTATAATGATATCTGACAGTGATTAAAATCATTATAAAAAAAAAGCTTCAATGCAAATCTTTAGATAGTGTTTAATTTTAAAAAATTGGTGGATTATTCCAAAAGCTACATGATCTGCTAGTTCCTTATTAATATCCTGATTAAGATAAAGTATGTCGAATGAAAAAGGCAGGTAAAGGGTCAGATTTATAAAAAAATATACCAAAAGATAGGTAAAGACATCATGCATCTATAAAAAAAAATTATATTGATCCATACATTTTCCAAAAAGTTATGGCAGTTTTAAGTAAAAATAATTGAAAAAATGTCAAAAATTAGCAATTTTTAAAATTTGTAATTTTTTTGGAGATTTCCCCCATTTACGGGGAACAAGGGAAATTTTTTCAATTGGTTGAGGTTAATGTCTTTGACAAGATACAATTTGTGATCTTTTGACGTATCGTTAAAAGAAATCGGTTCGGTGAGAGCTGAGAAAAAGTGGTAACTGACATAAAAAAAACAAAAAAACCACATCATAGTAAAATCAATACCTCCTCAGCTTCGCATCGCAGCTAAAATGTAAAATATAAAATCGAGAATTTTCACACAAAACTTCGAAACCATTTTTATAAATCCAGTTACTCTCTATTACTATCGTTAAAAAACTTGAAGTATAATTTAGTTTTTACTAGCAGCGATAAATCCTATTATTTTAACAGTTTAAGTACTAAATAAAGAAGATTAATTTTTAAATATTGTTTTAGTCTCATTTTACTTATAAAAAATTAATCTAAGAGATCTTAGATCGTTTTTCTTTCTTTCTCTTACTCCAAAACTGAAGGAAGTCGTTTGACAAGTCAACTAATTTTTTTTAATTAAAAAATTACTCTTCCAATTACCGCATCCAAATACTGTATAGGGCATTTGTATATTTAATTAAGATTTTGTCTGTATTTTAATTTTTGTGTATTTACTAGACAATAATTCTATGGGATAGTTTAAAAAGGTTAATGAGTTTACAAAAGAGTAAAAAGGGGAGTTAAAATTAATTAAACCGTATATACATAAACCGTGTTCATAAGATATTTTTGATTATAATGCATTTAACATTAAAACATACAAGTCTTTTTAATACTGAATATGGATTTTGATAAAATTTTAATGGATGTTGGAGAATATGGCTCGTATCAAAAAAGATTAATGTGGATAATTGTTTTACCTTGTGTATTACCATGTGGATTTCATGCATATAATCAATTATTTATGGCTGCTACTCCTGTGTTTTGGTGTAAAGAAGACAAGTAAGAATAATTTTTATGGTAACCTTTTTAAATACAAATCATAAATTGTGAAAAAATGTTACTTTAGAAATTCTAATTATACATTTAAAACTAATACATGTATTGACATAAATAATGAAACCTGCGAAAGCTGGGATTATGATTTTAGTCGTTACTCGTCTACAATTGTAACCGAAGTAAGTGAATGAATTAGTTATGTTTACATATTATCAATTGCTGTATCAATAGTTTGCACTAATCAGACAATTTTCCCATTCAGGATCAGTATACTATCTGAAAATGTATTTCAACACATTTTTATTTAAGTAATGAACACCAAAAAAGTTTTGTAAAAGGTTATAATATCATTTACACAAACAAGAATTTTTATGAACTTGACTTTTTTAATATGAATGAAGACATTTCCGTTAAAATAAAATAAAAAAATCGCATTGACAATTTTACATGTAAATTATAAATGTCACGAACAGTTGTAGAACAAAAATTAAATTAAAGCAGTAGCATGTCTATAATAAGTTAATATTATGTACCAATTTGTGTTTGAGACATTTACCTCGATTTGTTTATCTAATTAATGTAAAAGTAATGGACTACATTGCGATGAAAATTGTTTGTTATTGTATAATATATTATACGTATTATACATTTTACAATAATAAACTATATTTTTTAACTAAATAAATTAGTAATAAAATCTAGGCCATAAAAATTATGAAACATTTAGTTTTTGTAATAATTTACAACATAAAAAATTTAAATAAAAGTAACTTTCAAACCTAATTTTAAGTTTGTTTCAATTAAACTTCAAAGTTGACATTTTCCTAATAGAAATTTAACATATGTAACAATATTGTGTGAAATTTGTATAATTTAATTTTATGTTCCACCGCGAAAAAAAGTAAAATAAAGTAGCTTCAAAATCATTTAAAATTATTACTTTTTAAAAATTATGTAACTAAATAATGGCCAAATTAAAAAACTTCAAAATACAGTTTTATTATAATACTGAATCATGTTAATATGACATAAAAAAATTGCATTGCATCATTAATTTAAATATTAAAAAAAATTTTTTATAAAAAAAAACATTTCTCAAAATTACTTAAAAAATTAAAAATGAATAAATTTTATTATTAATTATTGAAAATGTTGTAAAACCTCATCATAAAAAATTATAAAAATATTATGTATTATATATAATCATATAGAATCCTGGGGTATCTTTATGATTTCAAAAATTTTAACAGGTCATAAATTTATTTTTATAATTTTTTTTTTTTGAAATATTTTTTATTTATTTACTGAAAAACTGGTGTGTGAAATTTCAAAAAAAATTTTAATGTATGCAAATGTACATTTTTGTTTTTATAATTTAAGTAATTAAATTATTTATATAATTTTGGTGAATTATTCAAAACAAAATATGCAGTGCATTTATGTATATTAATAACAAATTATTGTTAATAAAAATTAGTATAATAGTTAAAATTAATATTTTTTATTTTTCGAACCCTCTGTAAGGAAGTGTCACTTTACAATTCGCATTTTTACAAAAATATTAATTTTATCATTTTTTGAAAATGTTGTAGGATATCTGACAAATCAAAACCTAAATCAAATTAATGATCATTAAATATATTTTATGATTAAAAAAATTGTTCTAACATATTCTCACTGATCTATTTGATTTTAAATTGCACTATTTTAACAATAAACTAAAGATATTTGCATCTAAGCATTGTTTATAATAATGATATTTTTCACTGACGATACCATTTATACTGTAGTAACAAAATGTGAACCTTTATATCTATTATTTTTTCTTATAGTATAGATAAATTTTATATTTTGCTTTGCTAATGGGCGGTCGTACGTTATATTTGGCCGTGTAATCAGAAAACAGTACTGTTGCTGTCATGGTGTACGCTATACACACAATATTTGGTATTAAGTTAATAATTGTTCCCAATATACACATTAAGGTGGTTCTTATCTACATAGGTCATTTTTTAGCTTCGATGCGACGCTGAGAGGTATTGGTTTTACTATGATGTGGTTTTTTTTTTTTTTATGTCAGTTACCACTTTTTCTCAGCTCTCACCGAACCGATTTCTTTTAACGATACGTCAAAAGATCACAAATTGTATCTTGTCAAAGACATTACCCTCAACCAATTGAAAAAATTTCCCTTGTTCCCCGTAAATGGGGGAAATCTCCAAAAAAATTACAAATTTTAAAAATTGCTAATTTTTGACATTTTTTCAATTATTTTTACTTAAAACTGCCATAACTTTTTGGAAAATGTATGGATCAATATAATTTTTTTTTATAGATGCATGATGTCTTTACCTATCTTTTGGTATATTTTTTTTATAAATCTGACCCTTTACCTGCCTTTTTCATTCGACATACTTTATCTTAATCAGGATATTAATAAGGAACTAGCAGATCATGTAACTTTTGGAATAATCCACCAATTTTTTAAAATTAAACACTATCTAAAGATTTGCATCGAAGCTTTTTTTTATAATGATTTTAATCACTGTCAGATATCATTATACTTGATCCAACTATGTTACGTCACCACTGTGCCAATAGTGCTTGGCTTTTTATCTTAATACTATATTTCATAATATAGTCTAATACGAAAAATGTCAATAAATTCATCAAGCACTATTTTTAGGCTAATATCAAATACTGTGTACTGTGATGTATCTCAGGAAATATATAGACTCAACGGCGATACACAGAGCGCACAAAAGTGCGACAATCGCAAAGGTGATATTTTACTTTTACAACAAAACGAATACAAAACTACTGGCTTGCAATCGCTATAGAACTTATAGCTAAAATGCGCTAAGATTGCGACGACAATGCAGACATGGAGAGTAGACCAAAAACAACTAAATATAGCACAACGATAACAAATTATATATACCTTTACCACCCGTGTATTATTAGTCGAAAACTGGACGTCACTCCTGCGCACACCAAAATACGAAATTAGAAAATTTGTAATATACGACATATGATATTAAATGTTTGGGTAAGTAAAGAAACGGGTTTTTATTGTTCTCATTGTTTTAACAATTGGCCTGTTTCTTTATTTACTGAACACGCTGTATAATATATTGTAAAAATAAAGTTGGTTTATTACTACATAAACCTTTATTTTTCGTATGCTACCGTTTAGTTAGGATAAGTATTATAAGAGTGGTGAACACTTAATAAAAGAATAAAAAGAATAACCGTGTAATAATAATTGACTGATTATTATAAAAAAATAATAGTTCATCATATTAAATGTATAACCACACTAGTATTATACAACAATTATCAAAATAAATAAAAGAAAAACAAAAGGCTTAACACATTACTATTAATTAAAAATAAATACGATACCTAGCACCGGATGATGGTCGAAAATGGTCGACGTCTAAAAAAAGTAAACACGCGTTTTTTAGAAAAACGATCACTCACGAAAAAATTGACTGCACGCACACAACAAAATACCACTATGATGGTTTATATAAAACAGAGAAAGTTTTTTCAACACACCGACGACGACCACAACGATTTAAGAAAGGGTATCGGTCTAACAATCTATGGAATATCAAAAAGATATAAGAATGAAATATATTAAAATCATACAGGTATTGACAGTGGTGGACAGTGTATGTGTATTAGGGTGATTCTTATTTTTCAAAGTTTTTTTTTATTGCTTGAACGCCCCCTAGAATTGTTCTATAGGTTAAAAAAGTACATTTTGTGATGTTTGGTGATTGTCTAATATTTTTTTTTCGTGCCGCAGAAGGGTTGAAATTTAATAAATAGGGGTAAAAATTAGTTTTTTACGTATAATTTGTTAAATTTTACTTACGAGAGAAGAGACCTATTTTTCTCACTGCATGAACTAAACATTAAACATTGATAATACCTACATTGTATTTATATACCTAATTTAACAGATAAATAAATCTATGTGTTGATGTTAATAATAAAAAAATAGTTTTTTTAGATTTTAAATTTACTCTTTTTTTCAATAATAATTAACAAATTTAAATATAATTAGTAAAAGTATTAAAAAATTTAATAATAGAAAAATATTTTATAAACATCAAATAACCAAATAAATTACTTTTTGAGTAACTATTGTGGGTATGTATTGAGAATCTAAAATTTTAACAGAAGAAAAAAGGAATCAAACTATTGAATGATTAAAAGTTTTAACTAAAAATTAGCTCAACCATCTTATAGGTAAAAATCATGGTTTGAGGCCCATTATCTCATAAAATTATTAATTAGTAATAACCAATTACTTTTTCCATAATGTACATACAATTTGAATTTGATTCTCATTTCTTTCGCGCTTTAATTTAATTCCAATATATATAAACAAATAATGAATAAAAAATTATTGATAGCAATATTACATTGCATTTTACAATAGTAGTTAATAAATAATAATTATTTACAATGAGTAAAATAAATTATTATTCACATTTGTGTAAAACAATAATTCATTGATATTTCATATTAATCTAGCTAAGATAACTATTAAGACGCATTTAGAATGCACTCTATGAGTATGCCTTGCGAGTTGTGAGTTGCAATTCGCGTTCCACAAACTTTTACAACTCACGAGTCAGAATCACGCCTTTAAAGATTCGACGATTTGGGAGTTGGGATTTGGAGTTGACTCACTGAGTCAACTTATTTGAGTGAACTGATTCAAATGAATTGATTCATATCAGTAAGTCAAAAATCCCATCTCTATGTAAAAGTAAAATATCACCTTTGCGATTGTCGCACTTTTGTGCGCTCTGTGTATCGCCGTTGAGTCTATATATTTCCTGAGATACATCACAGTACCGTTCACAGCATATTGTACACGTTGGTCAACTACTTGTATACGACTTCTACTGATCCTTTCAATATTCAATATTATCATCAGCCGTGTTTCAATTAGCCGATAATTATAATGCTTGTTCATCTTCTTTCTAAGACTTACTCACATTTATAATTTATTATTTGTCTATATCAGCACCATAGTTGGCATTAGTTTTAAGTGTCCCCCTATCCATATTGGTGTATATAAGATTTCATGATTCTTGTATAATACATTGAATTGTTATAATTATATATTTTAAGTCATTCTACATTCATTCATACAGTCCACTCACTTTTTATTCTTTTTCCTCGGCATAGCCTGACTTAAAACAAAATAAAACCATGAACGTTAACGAACCCCATTGAATACCATCGGGTGCAGTGTTCATTCAGTTTTATTATTACTAATATTTTTAATTTTATACATACTAGTGTCTAAAGATAATTGAATGTTATTTCAGTGGAACTTGGTTTGTTCTAAACAATTTTATCCAACCCTAGCGTTATCATTATTTGGTTTAAGTGGATTGTTCGGAATGCTGTTATTTGGATATCTTCAAGATGGGTCAGTTTTAATTATTATGATTACAATTGCAAAATCGTATCTTAATAAAAACTCTGCATGGACAAAAAAAAAAAAAAGTTTAAAGCGAAAAAAGTACAATTGAACAGTAAGCTGATTATACAGGAAAAGTTCAAACAAAATATATATATATATATATATATATAATAATAAACTTGATTAAATACATCAACATATTTGTATTATAAACATTTTTAAAAGAAATCATATTAAAAATTAATTAAATAGAAAATTAAATTGTCATAAAAATTCATATGTTACAAATTAGGGGTCAAAATAAACATGCGCACAAATAAGTCAATACCCATATTATAACCATGCGCGTGGACTTAAAAAAAATGCTCGTAAAACGGATAAAAGTGAACGGATTGAATTAAATTTTTTGTGATATCTCAGAAATGTCATTGAGCGGATCTGGTGAAAATTTCAAATCATAAGATCTTAAATTTCGAAAATGGTCGAAATTTTAAAACGCTCACGAGCGAACGGTAGACATTCTCCGACCTTCGCCAANTAAAACGCTCACGAGCGAGCGGTAGACATTCTCCGACCTTCGCCAATAATTTTCTCAGACTCTCGTAACCGAGTACTTTCGTTGAAAAAAAAAATTGAAAATCCGAGCACTTTAAGTAATTTTTCCTGAAAATCGTTTTTTTCTTGTTCTATTATACAGGGTGGCCCACCACTCACTGACAACTTAAATAACTTTTGATCCAGTTAATATTTTTAGTTGATTTTTTTTTTAAATAATAGTTATACGTTAGGTCTATAGCTATATCTCAATAATTAATTTTTTTACATTTTATTAAAAATATTAATTATTTTTAAATTTNATTATTTTCAAATTTTAAATAAAATGTAAAAAAAAAATCTAAGATAGCTATTTTGTAAAGTAGAATTTAAGAAAAATTTTATTAAAATTGAGAAAAGGACAGAAGAAAACGATATCTTTTCAATATACTTTTGAATGAGAGTGATAAGTAATAATTGCCTTATCTAATTTCTTATCATGGTATTAATGCCATGTTTGTAATGTATACACACTATCATCATATGTATACACAGTAATCATGAAAAGATAGCGTTTTCTTCTGTCCTTTTCTCAATACGTATTTCAATGTTTATAACCGTAAAATAGTACATGAAAATTCAAATTTTTACAAACTTCAAAACGCTACAGAATATTTACTACTGAATATTAATAAGATATTTTTTTACTAAAATTTTTCTTAAATTCTACTCTACAAAATAGCTATCTTAGATTTTTTTTTTACATTTTATTTAAAATTTTAAAATAATTAATATTTTTAATAAAATGTAAAAAAATTAATTATTGAGATATAGCTATAGACCTAACGTATAACTATTATTTAAAAAAAAAATCAACTAAAAATATTAACTGGATCAAAAGTTATTTAAGTTGTCAGTGAGTGGTGGGCCACCCTGTATAATAAGATCATTTTTTATAAAATAAAAATTATGTTATCTTTTTTGTTTGGTGAATAAATTTGAATAATTAAATTGCGCAGTTTTGCAATGAAGATGACAATTTAATGAATAAATAATTTTAAAATTAAAACTATAAAGAAATTTTTTAGTAAATTTAAAGTGCTTTTAGTTTTAATTTTGATTTTATATTTTTCTTTTAACTTTTAGAATTAAACTAAGGTATATCATTTTTATCTTAAAATTATTTAAATCCTTTATAATTTTTTTATCAATAAGGCATGACATACATTGTATTATACTAAACATATAATATAAAAATAATCCTAACAACAAAGAAGCCAAAAGTAAGATTAACTTGCCTATTGACGGAGTATCTATACTCAACGAACGATACCCAAAATATCTCAGTATTAAACTAGATATGTCTTTAAATTTCAAGTATTACCTGGAAAGGGTAAATAAAATAAAATCAAAAATATATGCTGCAGTTTCCATGGTAATACAAAAAATTAAAAACTCCTGATCTCGAAGTCTTCAGTGATGATTTCAGGCTCCCGACCTCGATATATAAGATATATATATTGACACCCATTAAACTGGAATAATTTGGGGTCTGCAGAGGTAAAATTTAAGTAAAAATAGACAACCGATACACAACCTACACACAATAAAAGATTCTAACCACACAATTCTTGGCTTTAATTTCCCGTTGACAGAATACTCAACAGAGTAAGAATGGAGCAGAGTAAGTGTAATTACCTTATGTATAAATAAAAAATAATGGACACATCATACTGCGTTTGTGGTTAGAAACAGACAGTCAGGCACGTTACATAATGTTTAATGTCTAATGTTTCGATTTGGAGGTGGTATTAAAGGACTTGATTTAGCTATGAAAGAAGTTCAAGAATGACTAAAAAATACACTTGTAAACCATAATTTAGACCTTCGTTTAATTAATTTCTATCTATTTTTCATATGAATCTACACAAAATGTTTGATTTGTTGTAACACTATTGGTTGACTATTTATATTACTATTAAAATATTTTTATTCATACCACTGTTTATTATTTACATTGTTATTGTTACTCTTTATTATATTTCTCTGTTATATGTATGTTTGATTGTCATATAAAATATGATAAATTAACAAAAATAACTTATTATTCATTATTTTAGGTTTGGTCGACGACCATCATTTTTTATTTATTTATTCATTGAATGTATATTTGGTGTAACTACAGCTTTTGCGAATGATTTTTGGACTTGGTTAATTTTTAGAATTGGTGTTGGATTTACCATACCTGCGATCTTAGCTACTCCAAATGTGCTCCGTAAGTCAATACTGTATATTAAAAATTATGTAGACATAAATATATACAGAGTAATTTATTTAAAATATTAATGATTTTTTAGTAATTTTTATAGTAATAGTAATAGTAATTTTTCCATAAAAATGTATTGAATAAACATTTATTTAATTTTAATTAATAAATGAAAATTGAATTGCAAAAAAAATATTTATTAGGGTAATTTCTTTCAACACCCGAAACCAGTAGAAACTAAAGAAAAAAAGGTAGTCATTAGGGATAATTATTGTAAGTTAAATAGGAGCATATAAATATTTTTATGCAATAGGAAAGAGACTGAATAAAATTTTTGCGTGTCAATTAACAATTTTGAAGTATTATTTTTGAGATATGGTACCACCTATTGAAAATTTACAATAAAAAGTATACAAATAGGAATTAATTATTGGTTTATATCTTAAAAGATATATTTGTCTATTACCAATATCTCTAAAAATTTATTTTCACAAATTAAGATATTAGGTAAGATACAATTTTTAGTAAAAATTGATTTTGGGCATTATTATATAAATTTATTAGTTATTTTGTTCATGAGTATGACTAATGACGATCATGATCTTAAAATTTAGTCAGTAATGCAAAATATCAAATTTATCTTTATAAAAATAAAATTATATACTTTTATTTTTATCATATGATACTCAGAATAATATTTAATTTATCTTCTTGTAACTTACTACATTTCTACCAATAATATTTTCATAACCATTTATTTGCTTAATTTATTCATATTTATGTAATTAGTTATTAATAATACGTAATAAGTTATTACATTGGATTTATATGACATTGCTGTCACATTCACGGATTGTTTATTATTAATTATGACTATCAATAGATATACTTTATGTATTGTCAGTTAGTGTATTTATAAACTCACAACAATGTGTCTTACTACCATTGATAATAATAATATTGTATACCTGCTAATGTCGATATCATAAAAAACTTAGATAATACTAATACTATACCAATACTCAGATAATTATTGGAGAGAAGCTAATTCTTGTTTTGGAATGTTTGCTTTATCAATTTTATTCTTCTTTTGATATTTGGTGTACTTGGAAGCTATGATACTTCCAAGGTAGCAGAATTATCGGACCTGTTTTAATCGTAAATTGTTTCTTTGTATATTAAGACTTAAATCTGAGTACATTTTATTTATAAGCATTGTTTTGTTTTTCATAGAATTTATTTTCATTTTAAATTTATCACTTGATAGAATTTTTAGCATATTATTCATGTCATGTTTAAACTCTGCTAAAATAACAATGTCAACTGCAAAGTAAATACAGCGTATATGTTGGCCATTTATTTTTGTTCCATTGATCTTGATTTTTATTATATCTATGCTCATTTCAATAAAAAGATTTAATAGATAGGGTGAAAAAAGCAACATCATCACACTCCTCTCTTTATTTTTGCTTTTTTTTACAGGTCCATTTACTTTTTGAAATTTTTCCATCTACTTACTGAAAAAGATTTTCAGTAAGAAATTAGATATTACTGGTAAAAAAAGTCAAAACTAGTCATATACAGGTTGATTTTTTTTATCATAACCCACTCAATTAGTTACAGAATTTTTTTTTTCTTTTGGTTTAATCGGCCGCTAGGATCATCCCGTCTCACAACCAATTCTCCAGCCATCTCTATTCATCGCCAAATCCTTCCACTTTGCTCCGCCTCCTAAGTCTTCTTTATCCCTCTTAACTATATCTTTCCATCTCAATTTTGGTCTTCCCAAGAACCTTTTTCCTACTGAATTCTGTTCCAACAATATTCTTAGTAGAGAGTTCTGGCTTCGCATTGCATGTCCTGCCCATCGCAACTTTCTTTTCTTGATCGTCTCTGCTATGTTATTTTCATTAAACATTTCTTGTAGCTCTATATTTTTTCTTCTTCTCCACTCTCCCGTGAAATCATCTTTTATTGGACCGAAGATCTTCCGTAATATTTTCCATTCTAGTATTAAGAACTTATTCTCATCTGATTTCCTTAGTGCCCAGGTTTCTGATCCGTACAATATCACTGGTCGTATTAGACTGGTATACAAACGTTTCTTTATCTCTCTTGATAATGATCTAGAACTTAATAGTTTCTCCAAACCATAATAAGTCCTGTTTCCCGCTTGGATTCTCGCGGCTACTTCTTTAGAGATATCATTTTTTTCACTCACAACTGAGCTAAGATATTTGAAAGAATTGACTCTTTTAAATTTAAAATGATCTACCTCCAAAACGTGATCCATCCAATTTTGTCTACCTATAATCATATATTCAGTTTTTTGTTCATTAATTTGTAGTCCTACTTTCTGTGCTGCGTCATTAAGTCTTTCACAGAGCCGTTTAACTCCATCTTGAGATTCGTCCATTAATATTATATCATTGGCATATGCCAATAATGAAATAGCTGAGTTCCGGAATTTTATTCCTTCGTGGGGTTCGATTTTCATCTCTCTTATTACTTTTTCCATGACCAAGTTCAAGAGAATGGTTGAGATGGAATCACCCTGTCAAAGGCCGGATTTTACTGTAATTGGCTCCGACTTCATATTTCCGACTTTTATTTTGACCACATATTTCATGATGCTGATTGAGACTAAATTGACCAGCTTCTGGGGAAAATCGGAAATCTTTCAAAATATTTATGAGACTTTCCCTATGAATACTATCGTATGCTTTTTTGAAGTAAACGAATAACGTATGTATCTCCTTATCGAATTACCATGTTTTTTAGTATAATTGTCTAATAATAAATATTTGGTCCGCCGTTGACTTCCCTGGTCTAAAACCACCTTGATACTCACCAATTGTCTGTTCAGCTTTTTCCTTTATTCTTTTTAGAATACAATTTGAGAACACTTTGTACGCCATATTCAATAGGGCAATTTCCCTATAATTATTACGGTCTTTTTAATCTCCTTTTTTGTGTATTGGGCAGATTAGGGACGTTTTCCAATTTTCTGGAAATTTTTCCGTTAACTATACTTTTTTTATCACATGCAAGATCCATTGTGTCACGTCCTCCCTTCCTTTTTTAATCAATTCAGCCTGGAGACTTATAGTTTTTCAGATTGTTTATTTGTAAGTCTATTTCTTCTAGAGTTGGCTCTAGGCATTCATGGTCGTTTATATTTCCTAGGACAAACGTGAACAACTCGTCTGGCTCTTTACAGTTCAGTAGCTCTTCAAATTATTTCTCCCATTCTTTAGCTATATCTTCATCTGTAGTAACCAAGGATCCATTACTATCTCTAATAAAATGTTCGCTTCCTTTGAAATCTCCACTTAGATTCTTAATTGTCTTATACATATCACGTGTTTTATTCGCATTAAAATCTTGTTCTGTCCTTTCAAGCAAGTTACACACAAATTTTTTTTTCTCACATCTTAAAATGTTATCTGCTTCCTTTCATCGTGTGATAAACCTTGTTCTCTTTGTCTCATTGTCCGTATTCTTTAACAATTATTCACGAACAGCTTTTCTTCTGTGTATTACTTCCTCACATATATTATTGAACCAAACTTTTGATACCTTTCTTTTTGTTCCTATTACTTCCGTCGATGCTGTTTCTATAGTATCTTTGACATTATTCTATATTTCATTCACATCACTGGTATGTTTTATCTGCTTCTCTTCAAAAATCTTCTTGGTTGTGCTATTATAATCCTTGAGAATCCTCTTGTCTTCCAACTTCTCCAAATCATATCTTCTCATGGATGTCACATTACATTTATTGTGCTTTTTTAGCTTTATACGTATTCAAAAACCCACTAGTAAATTATCAGAATCAGAGTGTGCCCCACGTAATGTTTGAACATTAGTAATTCCATTCTTAAACCTCTCATTTACCAGAACGTGGTCTATCTGATTCTTATATTTTCCATCAGGGGATACCCAGGTGTACTTATAAATCGCCTCGCGCGGGAACATAGTGCTTTTTATACAAAGTTCTTTTCCTACAGCAAAATTAATTAGCTTCATACCGTTGCCATTTGAAGCTTCATGTAGGCTATGTGTCCCGATTACCGCTCTATACAGCACTTCCTTGCCGATTTTAGCGTTAAAATCACCTAGAACTATTTTAACATCACCAACTGCTGCGTCCATTACGTTTTCTAATGTAGAGTAAAACTTTTTTTCTTCGGTGGGTGCATGAGCATTAATTAGAACTATTCGAAAATCTCTAATCCTTAGTGTTAGCGTGGAGATTCTTGGATTAATATCCCTGAAATCCTTCACCATGTGGATTATTGATTCATGTATCGCGAAACTAGTCCCCTAATCTATGTCCTTGTTCACTATTTCCGTTAATGATGGTTGTTTAAGATATTTTATTAGATTCTGCATCTTCCCATCTCACTTCTTGCAGGGCAATATATTTAATTCTATACTTCTCTGCTTCTCTTACTAAATTCAATGCTGCTCCTTGTTTAAATAAAGTTCGTAAATACCAAGTACCACAAAATAAATCCGATTTCCAATTTTCAGTCTTTTTTCCGAATAATCTATCTCAAGGCTTGGTGTTAGAGTCCTGAAGAAAGATTGTTTTACTAGGCAGAGTTATTAACCCTGCACTAAACTCCCAACCTGGAGGGCCATTCCACATCAACCACTTAAGGCCAGCGTGGGGCTATTGCAATACACTTTACAATGTATTGGGCGATAGTAGCGCCACTTTCCCTACGCCACAGCTTGAGGCCCCAGGTTCGCTAAACCCGTAACACTGAGTGTCCCTCTGAGGGAAGTTACAGAATAAATATAATTTATATATTTCTTTTTTTGTTATCTTTAGTTACAAATTATTCTTAAATTATTTACTATGTAATACTTTTTTAGTTCGGCCCTTATACCTTGTAAGAGTGTCAACTTTGTTTTTTTTAATGGAAACACATATTTTTAATTTAATAGTAAAGGGATTTTAATTTTTAATAAAACTTTATTCGTTTATTAGATATAAACATTCAAAGTTTCAAATTTTTGAGTTAATATACATGTATATTACATAAGGGATTACAAATACAAATAGCTAATACGGTACTTTAATTCAATAACCACCCCTGTCGTCCTCGCCATCTATTTAAATTATTGTTAAAAGAAAGTAATACCTTAAAATTTAGTTATATATTTTTTTGCTCGTTACATTTTTGTCGCGAACAAGAAATAAAAATAATAATATTTTATTGATATTGTGATATTTTATATTATGTTAAATTTATTTTATTATTTTGCAGCTATGGAATTTGTGGGTCCGACTTATAGAACTACTTGTATTTTACTTACTAATATAGCTCATTCTATTAGCATGGTGCTTTTATCTCTATTATTGTACTTCTTTCGAGATTGGCGTCATCTTGCTTTATCGACATCTTTGCCTTTTATCTTATTTTTTTTATATTGGTGGTAAGCTGTATGACTAAAGTTAATTTCATCATATTATTAATGCATAATAAATAAGTGTATAACAAATGTTAAAGGGAATTCCCAGAATCTCCGAGATGGCTACTTGCTCGAGGAAATTTCGATGAAGCTAAAACTATTTTACAGAAAATATCAAAAACAAACAAAAAAAACATTTCTAGTTCTTATTTTGAAAATTTGAAAGTATATTACATATTTAACGGTAGTATTACATTTAAAACTATATTTTTTTAGGTAGAATTTATTGATATCCAGAAAATTCAAAAAAATAAATCAAATGAAACTTACAATATGATGCATTTATTTAAAAATCCAAATTTACGTTTTAAAACTTTTTCAGTAACATTTATTTGGTAGTATAATATTTATAACACAAAATTTATTTTATAATATATTAAAATAAAATTTTCTCTTTTATCCAATAGTTGTTTGTCTTTAAATTTTGTATTTTACTATTAGGTTTGTCAATACAACTGTTTATGTTGGACTTTCTTATTACACTCCATCTTTAAGCTCTGACGAACATTTAAATTTTTTCTTAGTAAGTATAGTTGAATTGCCAACTTATATATTACTATGGCCCGCTATGAATAAATATGGCCGGAAAAGTTTGTTATGTACAAGTATGCTAATAGGTGGAATTGCTTGTTTATCTACTAATTATCCTCAATTAGGTATGTATATCATATTTGTTTATTTTAATTAGTAATTATCGCGATTTTTAGTTATGTCATAATTGAGGCATACTCCGGATAAAAATTTAAATATGAAAAGTAATTTTTTTGGGAATCGTTTTATAAACATTACACAGTAATAAATTTATAATAGCTAATAACATGTTTAAAACAATTTAGAATACGTTATTAAATACCTTACTCGTCAAATATTTTTACTACAATACTGATATTCATAAAAGTGTTACTAGCGCGCAGCTCGTAGTTTGAACGACTGGACGATCGTACTCCCTACTAAAATTAATTAAAAGGAGAAAATTAATTGTATATTCTTAATTTTACATTTTTATTAAAATAGTTATAACACATTTGTCGTGTGCAAGTTTAAAGTTGTTTCCCTCTGATTTCTTCAGCGATTCCTTAAAATATCACAAATCGTATTTAGTTGAAAAAATTGCCATTAAAAATTAAAAAAATTTCCCTCGTTCCCTGTAACTGGAGGAAATTCCCCCCAAAAATATAATTTTTTTAAAATCGGTAAATTTTGACATTTTTTTCTCTTAAAACTGTCATAACTTTTTGAAAAATGAACGTAAAAAAATAATTTTTTTTTTGTATAGAAACATAAGGTATTTCCCTTTCAATTGATATAATTTTTTTGAAAATCTGACCATTAATTTACCTCCAGGGGATTTCAAAATAGCAACTTTTTCACAATATTCAACGTTTCAATCTAACTTTTGAAAATGTTCCGAAAATACTGCGCCCTTTAAACATATGTTAAATTGAAGCTTCTATTACGTATTATAAATTAAAAAAAAAAAACTTTTGCTCGGCGACTTAACTTCTATGCATATGGTTGCGGTAGTTAAAAACATACTATTTTTGTGCTAAAATTTTTGATTTTCAAAAAACTTTTTAAAAAATGTATAGATCAACCTAAAATTTTGTTTTTAAATACTTTATATATACCTCTATCATGTAACTTACTTTTTTTTTAATCAGACAATTTCCTCTTTTACAGGGGGGCGTTCAAATTTGAAAAATGCGTATAAAAAGTATAACTTTTTCAACTTAACTTTGTTAAATATTTCGGAAGTACTGCGTCTTTTAAATATTTTTTAAAATAAAGCTTATTTTTTATATTAGAAGTTAAAAGAAAAATTTGTACAAATGACTTATCTCTATGTGCAAGTAACAGTCAAAGTTAAACAAAAAATAGGATTTAATTTTGCTTTTGGAATAATCTACCAATTTCTTTAAATTAAACACTATCTACGGATTTGCATCGAATCGTTTCTTATGATATTGATCATAATCACTATCAGATATCATCTATACATTTTTTTAAATAAAATTATTAAAAAAATTTTTTAACTTAATCCTAATAATATATAATTTTATTTTTTAGTCATAATTTTTTTGTAAGATTCTATTGGAGAGGAATAATGATACTTTTGCCCCCCTCGTATTTTACCAAGGGGCACTTGCCCTCCCCCTGCCAATCGATTCCGGCAGTACTGATAATTTATCAGCGTCAATCTCGTGAATCATTTATATAAATATATATTATTTAATCAAGTCGTTCAAAATTAATTTAATGAATAGTATCCATAACAAATGTATTGTTATCACTTAGACTGTTTATATTACAAATAATTAGCTGTGCAGCATAAAAAATAGTCAAATTTATATATTTTTACTGTTAATATCAAATTAGAAATATTAAAAAAGGAATTTTAATAACAAGTATAAAATTAACGTATACCATGACAAATTAATAGTTTTAAAAATTTATTTTAGTTAACATATCAATACTTAAATTTTTATGTAATAATAATATGGTACCCTAATATCAATGAACACTATTGCTTATACTTTATATAAGAGCTTACTTAACAGATTTACTTAATAATAAACCCATACATATTTTTAAGGGTTCCAGGATAATAAACTAGTTCTATTCACCCAATCGCCCTGAGACGTGTAATGACCAATATTTAAATAATTGACAAAACTAATTTAACTGAAAAGGTAGGTTACAGTGATAGGATCACCGATTTTCAATAAAATTAAATAAATCAAATCTATATTGATACTATAGTTATACTTATTTTTAATTTTTTGCCAATGCTTACTATTGAATGGAATAGGTTATGTAATAATTAAAATATTTAGAAGTTATTCGTAATATAATAGTATATAATATCAAAACATATAATATAAGAGATGTACAACGGCAACGGGTCACTTTACTAAATAGACGGCGAAACTACGACTAAACTGTAAACATGTATACATCAGGCTGCATTGAATAAAACAACATAATCGTAAAAGGAAGGTGTCACTTTGGCCTTGTACTATACTAACATAAGTAAAAATACATTAAACTGTTATCTTAAATAATATTACTATACCCAGTGTGTTGTTTAATAATATCAACACTTACTTTAAACGGAGAAAAAAGATATTGAAAACTTGAACTAGCTTGAATAGTTATTTTTGTCTTTAAGTAAGCGCATCAATCTATATATGTGGCAGTTTGGTAACGCATGTGTCAAATACTAGTCCAGGAATACATAATACTAATTGCACTTTTTTCTTAATTTTTTATAAGTTGCTTGCACTTGTTCTAATCAACACAATACAACACCAAATTAATTTTGAATTAATTTAATGAATGACTGATTAACATAAATTATCATAACCTTCAATTTTTGAAGGTTATGAACCTTCATTAAAATAATTCAATGGTATATTTACTTAAGTTGACACGATCTCCCACATCATATATAAATACATTAGCCGTCCTCATATCGTAATCAATATGATCTCTCCATTTCATTTTTGGTCTACTCCTACCTCTTTTTTCTTCAACGTTCATTTCTATAATTGTTCTTACAGTTTCCGATTCTTCTCTCCTCATAACATAACCTCACTATCTAAATCTATTTTCTCTTATTCACGATTGACGCTACACCTATAGTCCCTCTTATATATTACCTAGTCACTCCACACATCCATCTAAGCATTCTCATCTCTGCTACACTCATTCTTTGCTTTATTCTCTTGTCAACCACCCAACACTCTGAACCGTACATCATAGCTGGTCTCAATACAGTCTTATAGAATTTACCTATCCTCATTGGAATTCTTTTATCGCATAACACACCAGACGCTTCTGTCCATTTTAACCACCCGCACTTTATCCTGTGTCTTACATCTTCGTCAATACCCCCGCTCTTTTGCATACCTGATCCTAAATATTTAAAACTTTCCACTTTTCCTATCACATCCTCGCCTATTGTCATTGAACTCCTCATTTCATCTACCTCGTATTTTCCTTTGTCAATATCGTTCTCTATATACTTTGTCTTACTTCTATTTATTCTTAAACTCTATTTTTCAAAAGCTGATCTCCACATCTCTAGCCATTGATTAATTTTCTCCAATTAACACTATATCGTCAGTAAACAACATGCCTCACGACTTCTCTCCTTGTATTTCTCTAGTAATTTCATCCATCACTATAGCAAATAAGTAAGGGCTTAAATCAGAAACTTGGTGCACTCCTACTATTACCCGAAAACCTTCTGTTACTCCTCTTACGCTTTTTACACTGTTACAAGTGCCATCATACATATCTTCTATTATATTAATGTACTTTTTCGGGACTCCTTTTTTCAATAATGCCCACTTTAAAAACTCTCTCGGTACTCTATCATATGCTTTTTTCAAAACTATAAATACCATATACAGCTTTATCTTCTTTTCCCTAAACATTTCTATTAGTTGTCTCACACAAAATACTGGCTCCATTGTTGACTTACCAGGCATAAATCCAAACTGGTTTTTAGATACCGATGTCTCATTTCTTATTCTCTTATCTATTATCTTTTCCCAAATTTTCATACTATGACTCATAAGCTTTATGCCTCTATAATTTCCACACTCCTGTATGTTACCTATTCCTTTAAATATCGGCACCACAATACTATTCCTCTATTTATTTGGAATTTTCTCTTCTAATAAGATTTTATTTAAAAGTTTCCTCAACCACTTTAAGCTAACACCGCCTAATATTTTCCAAATGTCTACTGGTACTTCATCTGGTCCTACTACTTTATTGTTTTTTATTAACGGCACAGCCTCCCATACCTTATTCTCACTAATTAAATCTACCAGTGTCACATTCCATAAGATATCCTCTAATGTTTTTTTTTGGGTACTCCTCATTCAGTAATTTTTCAAAACACATTTTCCACCCTTTTACCATATCATCATCACTTGATAGTACTCTATATTCAACACTGTTTATACTTCTTACATACCCATATAGCAATTTCGATATATTAATATTGTCAAAATATTCTTACAAAATACTTTTTTAAATATTTTGAAGCAAATATTATGACAATATCTCATAAAAATAATAAAAAAAAAAACGTTACATATCATTATTATGATAAATTTGTATAACAAAACGGTAGCACAGTGGGGTCGAGGCACAGTGTGGATGAGGCATAGATGGGACAAGTATAGATGATATCTGACAGTGATTAAAATCACTATCATAAGAAACGCTTCGATGCAAATCTGTAGATAGTGTTTCATTTAGAGAAATTGATGGATTATTCCAAAAGCAACATCAACTCTTATTTCTTTGATTATATCCTGATTAGTAGTTCTTTGATTTTAAACTATAATAAATAAATAAATACTAATTATAATTATTAAATTCAGTATGAAATTGATATTCAATAATTTAATATTGTAATTTAAACGAAGAAATTATAGAAATAATAAAGAAGTAATATTTTGCTTTACTTTTACGTGTATAAAAATTTAAAGGGCTTGATACAATAATTTTCAATAAAAACTGTTTGTTACTATAAATAAATGCACTGGACTACAAGGAACTTTCATCAGAAGCAAAAATATACTTTTCTAAATCAACTTTTCGCGTTATTTTCAAATCTGCAATTACACTTTTTCTATCA